ATGGGAGGAGGGAGAAGGGAGAGAAAAAGAGGGAGGGAGGGAAGATGGGAGGAGGGAGAGTGAATGAGGCAAGATGAGAAAGAGTGGAAGATATGAGGGGGGAGGCAGAGAAAGAACTTGGAGGGAGGAGCCTTGGTGATCTTACAAAGAGAGAGTGAGAGGGGTAAGAGAGAGAGAACGAGCCAACTAATGTGGAGAGAGAGAGACAGTGAGGGGGATAGATAAGAGATCAAAAGAGAGAAGGAGCTAAAGATAGAGAGAAACGGGAGGAGAGAGGGGAGAGATAAGCATTAGAATGAGGCTCGCTTAAAGGAGGGGACAGGGTGATGGGGGAGGAGAGGGAGAAGGGGACAGTGACTCTATATGAACACTGTCATACAGCACTTTTGCTTAATAAGCAGAACATAGAGGTCTGGTGAGAGCAAAGCAGTTGACACACACACAGAAAACATACACACTTAGACTCAGAAAACGTAAAGAGACACACACACACACTGCCGTTTGCGATTGTACGCATAAAGTAAGGATTTGAGTCGCTTTTCAACCTTCAGTGGACTGAGAACGTTTTTTATTTTATATATATATATTTTTTGGCATTCACCTTTAAATGTCCATTAACTTATAATGCAAACCTGAGACATTTTCATTTCACCCAATCCACAATGTATAGCTAAAACAATAATAGTTGCATCTGCAAATAATTGACATTTGTGAAATGTAAATCACTGAATAGACTAGGCCTGGCCTACCATAGCCTACACATTAATACACTAGGTCTACCCTATCAATAATCAAGATAATATATCTTACCTCTTTTGATTGGTTCGTCAGTAGTGACGGGGTCTGGTGATTCGGGCTCCTCATATTCCATAACTCCCCGTCAAAACAAACTGCGTTTTCTTGCACCTGGCTCTGACACACACCACACGCACTTCACACTCCTGGGACAAGCTTGTCTACACACCCTTTTTTATAGTATATTCTACCGTGCGTTTTGCTATGCACTTAGTATGCAATGCACCATGAATAACTTAAAAAACTTTGAATCTTTAATTCTAAATATATAGAACTACCTGCTGTTCTAGCGGCCGGGACGGCGCATGCGCTTTAAAACATGCACTACCATCTCTGTTAGAGTCACTACGCTCATTTACTCTGATAACGTCATTGTCATTTTGCCATTCTCTGTTGTCACTCTCTCTCCATATTCCGTCTTGTCTTCACGTGAGGATAATATCAGCCAACTTCATTTTTGCAACGAACTTCCTTGTGCAAGCAGTTCAGGCTACTCCGGTTTCAACCCGCTTGCTCTTTGCGCCCTGGCTGTGGTCCCGAGCTCGCGCTCAGAGGTTATGTCACCAGGACTTATGTAATAACTCACGGCAGTTTGTTTGTTGCAGCTGGTCGGTGTTTATTCTGTACTGCCCGGTTAAGAAATATCCCAACCAACGCATTTTGCCTAAATAAATACGAGGGGAGGCACGCAAAACACAAAACAAAACTTTAAGGCCTATAGGCTAGGCCTATATGTTTGTCTGGAGTTTTTTTTTTCAGTAGCTCGATATATGATAAGCACTATGGAAATATAAGAACATGTGTAATTATAGACTAATCATCAAACGTTTAATTTGAGTTTTTTCCTTTTCGATTTTAATTACGGTCATTCATAGAAGCGCATGTAGACTCGAGCAGTGTGAGTGGTAAAGGGTTAACGACCCCAAGGCCAGGTTTACCAGTTACATCATCTACAACGCACTGTATTATCCCCTGTAAACAAATTACTGTATTTAACCACTACAGTGACTTAACCTGCTTGTTGTTGATGGTTCTAATTCAGGTCATATCAGATCATGCTGATTTGATCAATTTAATTTATGAACAATTTACATTTTATAAATAGCTATAATAGTTAGGAGCAAATTGTAACCAACGGCCCCTAAACTAAAGCAACTGTGGTAACCAGCGCATGCACTTTCTAACATGCACTGCCATCTCTGTTAGTTACTACGCTCATTTACTCTGAGAACGTCTTTGTCATTTTGTCATTCTCTGTTGTCACTCTCCATATTCCGCCTTGTCTTCAGGTAAAGATAATATCAGCCAACTTCATTTTTGCAATGAACTTCCTTGTGCAATCAGTTCAGGCTACTCAGGTTTCACCCGGGATGAACAGTGTGTTCCCGTCCATTTTGGTGTGGTCTCAAGAAGATGACCGTGAAAATGTCGACCTCTGCGTTTGAAGCTCTGTGGTAGAGCGACTGTTGCGCTTTTGATTGTGCAAGAAAGGTGCTTCAGTGCTATGCTTTTTTAATTACAGCCGCGCGGTTTAGCAACTGTCGGTTTCCTTCGGCTGAACCAGAGATATAGGCTTAACTGTCTCAGTGAGGTGATCTGCTTATTATTTAGTCTATATGATATGGCATTTGTGTGAGCAAGGCCATCAATCTGTAAAGAGATAAATCAGATCAATACATGACTGACAATAGGCCAAGGCCACAGATTATGGCAATAAACTATGATAAAAGTAAAACAAAACATCTAATCTCTCACAGTGAAAGAAAGCTATACTATTCTCTGGACTCCACCTAAAGGTGACCTACAATGTGTGTGTTTAGGTGGTTTTAACCAAATGAAATGACTGGAAAGTTGTCCACCTCAGTTCCACTGCGCCCTCGCTCCTCAAAGCCCATCTGACCACACCTGAGTCTCAGGCTAACCCTACCGCCGCCCTGGCTGTGTCCTCCACACACACACAAACACACACACACACACACACACACACTCTGCACCCATCTCTCTCCAATATGAGGACAGAAACCCGAGGGGCCTAAGGGAAGGGGGGTGGGGGATTTCACACCTAACCACACACACACACACACACAACAAAATACTCCCAAACCACACCAGTAAACTGTGTGCATGTATTTCATGAGGAGGGACACTGTAGGGTTCCTGTGAAACACAAATTACATCAGAAACTCCAGAGAAATGGGCCACTAGTATCAGTTAATTACCATGCATATTATTTTCAGTTAGTTATCATGCCTAGTATTATCAGTTAGTTACCATGCCTACTAGTATCAGTTAGTTACCATGCCTACTAGTATCAGTTACCATTCCTACTATTATCAGTTTGTTACCATGCCTATTATTATCAGTTAGTTACCATGCCTACTAGTATCAGGTACCATGCCTACTAATATCAGTTAGTTACCATGCCTACTAATATCAGTTAGTTACCATGCCTACTAGTATCAGTTACCATGCCTACTACTATCAGTTAGTTACCATGCCTAGTATTATCAGTTAGTTACCATGCCTACTAGTATCAGTTACCATGCCTACTATTATCAGTTAGTTACCATACCTACTAACATCAGTTACCATGCCTACTATTATCAGTCCGTTACCATGCCTACTATGTGTTATGGGTGCCTACGATACCCGAATAGTCGCGTAAAGTAGCATTTTGAAACGGCCAGATTGGGACCATAGTGTATATGTTTTGTCCTCAGTGCCAGTCTCAGTAGTGAGAGTGCTGTTTAAGACTATGTGGTCACCTGGGTTTACACTGACAGAATCCTCAGAACTCTGATGTGGACAACGTTTTACGGTAATGCTGCCTGTCATTCATTTCTTACTGGAAGGGGATCATTCACAAAGAGGGAGGGGCCAGAGAAAAGATAGACTGACAAATAAAGAAAAAGAGAGAGAGGGAGAAAGGGAGAGAGACAGACAGACAGCGACAGAGAGAGGAAGGAAGGAAGGAAGGAAGAGAGGAAGGAAGAAAGAAGGGGTGAGAGGGAGATGTAGATTCGTAGAGAGGTCGACAGGTGAAGAGAAAGGGGTATCTGTATGACATCAGTCTGTCTGAAGGTTGTTTATAACACATGGACCAGTGAAAATTGAAAAGTCTACAGTACCCAAGAGGTAAGGCTTTATTCAAGAGGTCATAATGGTCACATAATAACGTATGAGCAATGATGAAAATCTCCAACTGCAAAAGGCCTAATAAATTAATAGTAATGATACAAATAAAATACAAAAAAATAAACTGTCCATTAAATATATCGGAGTGGCTGCGGATCCAACTTTTCTATACCTCTCATTCCGACGGCTAAAAGTCCTGAAGCTTCTGCGCATGTGCAGGATTCCCTACTTTACGCACAGTCTCTGTTCTACTCGTAGAGAACAAGCTACTCTGGTGAATGGTGCTCGTTTAATAAAGTTAGATAAAAGCTGAATCAATGTCTGGAAGATCACAATGATAGTATTCTACAAAACAGAACCACATATAATAGCGTAGCATAACGTTACTGTAAGACAAAACACCACCTAATTTCTTATGACATTTCAGGATGATTGGGAATGGGTAAATTTTTCTCATGTGGCCAAAACTCAACAACACGCGCCACTAGGGAAAATGTGTGCTATGATTGAAACTAAACACAGGTATGCAGATGCTGCATGGACGTTTCACCGGTAAAACTTGAAGATGTATCATTCACAATTGACTGAGAAATATGAAGGGAGGTTTACGAGTAGATCAGAGACAGTGCGTAAAGTAGAGAATCCTGCACATACGCAGAAGTGTCGGGACCTTTAGTTGTCTGGAAGAGGGTTCCAGAAAATTCTTATCCGCAGCCTTGGCATAAATATAATATAGCAGAGGTTATGTCCTTCCCTCTGACTGGAGCTGCTTGTCCAGGAGTGTGTAACAGTGGAGAAAGAGAGGTACAGTATTTACAGCCGGTTATGTCTATGATATACAATATCTGTAGAGCACAAGGCATCAGGTGTCTCAGGCAAACTGCTAGAGTTAAGAAGATTACTAGTGGATGTCGATTAAGGCAGCCCCCCGCACCTCTCTGATTCAGAGGGGTTGGGTTAAATGCGGAAGACACATTTCAGTTGAATGCATTCAGTTGTACAACTGACTAGGTATCCCCCTTTCCCTTAGATCTGACAGTCATAACCACACACACGCATGCGCGCACGCACACACTCAAGCATACACACTCCCGCACTCAACACACCGAGGTACTGATATACACCCAAACATTCAGTCAGTGCTGTTTCTGATGTTGTGTGTTTGTAGCGTCTGGTTGGTCGATGAGCTGTCCTATCCATCATCCTCCTAATAGGTGTCCCATTGTGATCGACAGAAACAGCCCTGAGAGAGGGAGAAGGAGAGAGAGAGTGGGAGAAGGAGAAAGAGTGAGAGAGAGAGGGGGAGGGAGGAGGAGAAAGAGAGAGGGGGAGAGGGAGAGAGAGAGAGAGAGAGAGAGGGGGAGAAGGAGAGAGAGAAACACACTAAGAATGAGAGAACACTTCAGACTGACTGACAGTCCAATGACACGTGTCTAAAAACATAAGGAGGAGGTGACAGTACCTGTGGCCTCTGTGTGTAGTTTGGAGCCGTCCGTGTTGGTCACTTGACAGGAAACAAAGGTTTTCAGTCCCTCCTTCTTATCCAATGAGCAGGTGAGCAGCACTGTACTACACAATGGGATGGGGCTTTGGGGAGGAGAAGCGGGATACAGTATGTGTCATAACCAGGAAATGTGGTCAGGAAAAATCTAGAACCTCACTTAGAACTTAGAACCCTATAATAATGACCACAATAACATGAAAACATATTTTTAGAGCTTAATAAGCCATGAATGAGTGATCGAGTGAGTGAGTGAGGGAGAAAGTGTGTGTACCTGCGGTAGTTGATGTTGAGGTTGGCAGTCATGACAGGCCCAGAGAGGTAGGTGGCGTGGGTCCCTGTTACAGTGTCAATCATGGTGGCTATTGCCCCCCCATGGACGTGCCTGGAATCACACACATCATTTATCAACGTTACACTTTGACTAAATATTATGTTTGAACGCTAGCAGTTGATTGTGTCATTTTTACAGAGATACACACACACAAGGACAAACATTGTCACAGTATACACATGTACACACACACACAAGCAGCTCACCCCGGGGGTCCCTCCAGTAGGTGGCCAGCCTGGAACACACACACACACACAAGCAGCTCACCCAGGGGGTCCCTCCAGTAGGTGGCCAGCCTGGAACACACACACACAAGCAGCTCACCCCGGGGGTCCCTCCAGTAGGTGGCCAGCCTGGAACACACACACACAAGCAGCTCACCCCGGGGGTCCCTCCAGTAGGTGGCCAGCCTGGAACACACACACACAAGCAGCTCACCCCGGGGGTCCCTCCAGTAGGTGGCCAGCCTGGAACACACACACACAAGCAGCTCACCCCGGGGGTCCCTCCAGTAGGTGGCCAGCCTGGAACACACACACACACTTCTGCTCCTGCTTGTTGACAAACATGTCGTACTCGAACGCTGCTCCCTGATGTTCCGCGTGAACAGACGAGCCTTCGACTGAATGATCTTACTCAGATACACCCCACCTTGGAAGGAGAGACACATGGTTACACACATCATCTTACTCATACACTACGTCCAGGATAGGAGAGACAAGGTTACATACATACACTGTTTACTTTACATTTTAGTCATTTATCTTGTCCAGAGCGACTTGCAGTAGTGAGTGCATGCATTTTCGTATTTATTTCGTACATACACACACACCATTTGTGGAAGAAACCCTTCCTTACTGTACCTGTGGCATACTTGATGGAGCGGTTATAGCTGGGCAGATTTCTCCAGACACCCCACTTATTCTCTCCCTCCTCCGTCTCTACCTTACACTGGTTGTTATAGTGCTCATACACACGCCTCATGTCAGAGCCCCAGGACGAGTTGGGCAGGCTGAAGTCCCGTGGCTGGGAGGAGAAAGGCCAGGGCAGCACCTAGTGGACAAACACTACTATTACACTCTCATCCATACTTTATTACAGTATTATCTGACTGAGTACAGGGGGTCCCACTGTATGACAACAGAACAGAATGACAGGGCAGAAACATCCAGAACGTAATACAATACAATACAATACAGTTCACAATGCACATTGTGGGAAAAAATACTGTTTCTATCGGCAGTTACGTTCGGGATTAGGGAACAGTTAAGATCAAGATAAACCATGAAAAATGTTTAGGTATGAATCATGACTGACATGTTCTCACTCACATTGACAGTAGGCTATAGTGACTCACATGTTCTCACTCACATTGACAGTAGGCTATAGTGACTCACATGGTCTCACTCACATTGACAGTAGGCTATAGTGACTCACATGTTCTCACTCACATTGACAGTAGGCTATAGTGACTCACATGGTCTCACTCACATTGACAGTACGCTATAGTGACTCATATGTTCTCACTCATTATGCCCTTGACAGTAGGCTATACTACTGTTATGGCTGTTTGTAGCTAGCTAAATATTCAGTGGCTGTGTTTCTGGACCCACCGCCATGGTTCGGACACTGTTGACAGAGGACCAGGGATGCTGGAGAGACCCTCTTGAAGTCATTTGTTGTCTGATGTTGGCGTTGAAATGTCCCTTTGAGATTTCACGTCCCATTATTTGGCACAGTCCCCTGGCCATCTGCTGCGCTCCTATTCGTATCATGATGACAATGTTGGGGTAAGATTGCCCAGCCCTATTCTGATGTAACTACAAGTAAATTAGCTAACATTAGCTAGCTAGCTAACATAACTGTTTGAATGTTAAATGACGAGACAGAGGCATTGATGCGAGTCACCAGTCTTGTTCAGTATATTGCAATCATCCGGGTATCTCAAGTCCACCGGTAAAACACTGGAGTTGCAGTAATTAACATTTACCAACAGATGGCATCATTGTGCCATCTTCCACCCATAACATCTTCCCTTTTATAAAATAGGACAGGAGCTGTCAATTCACTAACAAAACAAACCTAGTAGTAATTTCCAACATGCACAGTTTAGTATTATATATATATATTTTTTTTCTTCAGTTAACCACTTAACACATTTTGATACTCTTCACTTTTATCTCTGTCAACAATCCCTAATGGGAAACCTACAGATTAAGTATTTTTGGTGGCTGGGACAGACGCCCGCAGCGTGAAAAGACAGGGGGCTTGTCTGCGTGGACTGCGGGCTCCCGCACAGGCGTGTCACCTGACTGTCAAAGGGGAGTATTGATGGGCGAGGGAGTGGCCGACCTGTGATCCCCTGGCTCTTCGCTCAGTGCCTCAGGCCCCATGTGACTTGCTGGGGTTCCGTCTTTTGTCATGCGACCCCTATGACCATCAGAGTTCTGAGTAGATGCTGGCTCAGCAATCCGAAGGTCAACCCTGTTATGACGGTACAGTGATCCATTCACTTCGACCAAGTAGGAGCGTGGTGCCACTTTCTGTACACAGGATCCGAGTCTCCAGAGGCCCGTCCGGTCCCCTGGTAGTTGCTTCATTCGCACCGTTTCACCCACCCTGAGCTCAGGTAAGTCTTTTGCTGATTTGTCGTAGATGAACTTGGAGACCTGTCTTCTGTGACGTAGCTTCACCAGCACATCTGTCACCACACATGGCTCCAGGAGAGTGCTTGCTACTGGCAGAGCTGCTTTTAAACGCCGTGCCATGAGGCGCTGGGCCAGGCTGCTATCCATGCCTTCTGTCGGGGTATTGCGCCACTGCAGGATTGCTTTCCAGGCATCTTTGCCCTCTCGCAGAGCTTTTTTGCAGAGGTTCTTTGCGATTTTGACTGCCGACTCAGCCTTCCCATTAGCTTTTGGGTGTCGTGGTGATGAAGTGACGTGCTCGAATTCCCATTCTGCAGCAAATTTTCGGAACTCACATCCGGAGAATTGGGGTCCATTATCTGAAATTACCCTATCTGGCTGGCCATAGCGGGCAAATTGAGCCTTGCAGCGTTTGATCGTTGTCTCTGCTGAGAGGTCGGGGTGGAGGTCAATCTCCAAGAAGTCTGAGTAATGATCAACTACCAGCAGAAAGTCTTTGCCACTGTGCTGGAAGAGATCTAGACTTACTATCTGCCAGGGGCGCATTGGTAGCTCGTGGGACATCATCGTCTCTCTCTGGTGCTCAATGGCATATTCATTGCAGATTGTGCATTTACTGACATAGTCTTTGATTTCACTCTGCATTGCTGGCCAATACAGTGTGTCACGTGCTTGTCTGTAACAGGCCTCACCTCCTATGTGACTTGAGTGCACGCGCGCCAACATCTCAATGGCGCAGAGACCGGGGAATAACGACTCTCTGACCCTTGAATATTACTCCGTTTTGAACACTGAGCTCTTCTTTGACTGGCCAATATTCTCTGATGGCTAAAGCAGTTTCTTCCTTGCAGTCGGGCCAGCCCATCAGAATCACAAACCTCAATGCCTGGAGTTGCTCGTCCCTGTCTGATTTGTATAAGGCGCTGGTCCGTAACATTGAGGTAGTCAGCCTGGTTGATGTGTTCAACATCCACTTGCTCTGTTTGTAAGCTGCACACTGCGTGTTGTTCATGCATGGAGCGTGTATGAGTGCCTGATGCAGTAGCCCTGCTGAGCGTGTCACTCACATACATCTCTGGCCCTGGCTTATACACCACCTTGAGGTTGTAGTTTTGTAGGGCCAGTAGCATGCTCTGCAGTCGTTTCGGGGCATTCAGGAGAGGCTTGCTGAATATAGCAATAAGGGGCTTGTGATCTGTCTCTGCGGTAATATTGTCACGCCCGTACAGGTAGTGGTGGAAGCGTTGGCATGCAAACACAATGCTGAGGCACTCCTTCTCTATCTGGGCATAGTTCTGCTCTGTTGGAGTGAGTGCCCTAGAGGCGAATGTCACAGGCTGGCCCTCTTGCATGAGGCAACAGCCCAGTCCATACTGGCTTGAGTCACTCTGAATCGTGACAGGTTTTGACACATCGTAGTATCGCAGTACAGGTGTCTGGGTGACCAGTTGTTTTATTTCCCTCACCACTGTGTCATGTTTTGGGAGCCAATGCCAGATGGTGTCCTTGTCCATGAGCCTCCTTAGTGGTTCACACACTTCAGAGAGCCGCGGTAGGAACTTGGCCAGGTAGGTGACGAATCGACGAAGCGCTGCACTGCCTTCACGTGAGATGGGTGGGGCATATCCAAGACAGCCTTCACTTTTTCTGGATCCGCCTTCAATCCGGTGGAGGACAAGATGTGCCCATGAAAGCGAACCTCTGGCACTTTTAACTGAAGCTTTTTTATGCTTAGCCTTAGCTTGACCTGTCTGCATCTGACCATCAGGGCCAGCAGCTTGGCGTCATGGTCACATTCTGCCTCCTCATCACTGTCCCCACAGCCCACTACGAGGATGTCATCTGCTATGGGTTCCACGCCACTGAGTCCCATCAACAGCTCGTGCTGTTTCCGCTGATACACCTCTGGAGCCACGGAGACACCAAACGGGAGCTTCAACCACCTCTTCCTGCCCCAGGGTGTCCAAAAGGTGGTCATGTAGCTGCTGGGCTCGTCAAGCTTGCACTGCAGGAAGGCATCTCTGGCGTCCACGAGCGTGAAGACTCTGGCCTTTGGGAGCTTGTAAAGAACATCCTCCAACGTGGGCATAATGTAATGTGAACGTCTCAGAGCCCGGTTGAGGTGTATAGGATCAATGCATATCCGTAGCTTGTCTGGTTTCTTGACGATAACCATATTACTTATCCAGTCTGTAGGCTCGGTGACGGATATGATGTGGCCATCTGCTTCGTATTTGTCAAGCTGAGCCTTCGTAGCTGCTTTCATGGCCACTGGTACATTGCGGGGTGCACACTGGACAAGCTGGATTGCTGCCTCCAACTCAAAGTGGACTTCGCCGGGAACTGACTCGACCGGTGCGTTGAAGACATCATGGTACTTGCTTAGGAGTGTCTCCTTGCTCAGGGGCCCAGCCTGGACTTTGTCTATAATCTTAAGATCAGCTGGGATGGTGAAGTTAATAAGCCCAAGGCGCTCACATGTAGAACCTGACAGTAATGGCTGTTGACTAGCCTCAACTATTTCAAACTCAAGAGTGTGTTTCTGGCCACGTAAAACACACTCTGTCACAAACAGGCCTAAAGAGGTCATGAACTGGCCTGAATACAGTTTCAGCTTGGTGCTACTCTGTGTGAGTTTGTCTCTGGGCCCGAGCCTCCTTTTATCTTTAAGGCTCATAACGTTACATGTGGCCCCTGAATCTAGCTGGCATTGCTGTGGTTTATTATTAAGTAGCAGAGTGACAAATAATTTTTTTCCTTTTGTGCTATGCACTCGCTAGCATATACATCCTATGTGCTGTTGTTCCCTTCCTCTGTGTTTATTTCAATGGAGTGCACTTTACCCTCCTTTCTCTTGCTTTTCATGCAGGCCCTTGCGAAGTGATTAGCTGTCCCACAGGATTTGCATATTTTTCCATAGGCTGGGCAGTGTTCTTTTCCTCGTCCATGAGAAATGCCACAACATCGGCATGCATTGGGGTTGTCTACTGCAGAGTTGGCTGTAGTATTAGCATTAGCTGCGGCAAAAGGGAATTTCTTTACTGCCTGCCTGAATGTAGCATTTACATTGTCCATATGTTGCCTTTCTAGCTCCATGGACCTTATCAAGCAAGCTCTGCTGCACGGCATGTCTCCATTGCCAAGACCAGTGTCAGGTCACGTTCTCTCAGCAAACGTCTGCGGGTGCCCTCATCAGTTATGCCAAGCACTATCTTATCTCTGATCAGTTCATCTCTTAAAGTACCATAGTCACATGTAGCTGCCTTTTCCCTTAGCCTAGTGACAAAGCTGTCAATGGACTCCCCGTCCTCCTGTTTGCAACAACCGAAAACATAACGCTCGTAGATAACGTTCTTTGCTGGCTTAAAGTAAAGTTCGAGAGCATCAAGAATAGCTGTAGCATTACCTTGCTGAGCTGCTGTTAGGTTCAGGTTGTGTTTGTATACGTGTCGGCATTCAGCTCCCATTATAGTCCTCAAAGTGGCAGCCACTACCTCATCGTCCTTTTCCCGAAGTCCCGTTGCTAGTGCATAGTCCTCCCATTCACCTCTAAACGTATCCCAGTTTGTACTCCAATCTCCGCTGAGCTTCATAACGGCGGGAGGGGGAATGTTCGCTGCCATGTCTAAACGGTGTTAACAACACTGAAGCTAACTAGCAAACTCAATCTAGCTAAGGACAATTCCGGCGAAGTTTTACTCAACTAAGCTTTTTTTTTTGTAAACCAGAACAGGTGACTCTAATTTGCGGAAAGCATGGTTAGTTATCCCACTTCTGACACCATGTTTGAATGTTAAATGACGAGACAGAGGCATTGATGCAAGTAACCAGTCTTGTTCAGTATATTGCTATACATCCGGGTATCTCAAGTACACCAGTAAAACACTGGAGTTGCAGTAATTAACATTTACCAACAGATGGCATCATTGTGCCATCTTCCACCCATAACAGTAACGTTACGGTTACCAACAGGGACGAAGGGCGAATACGTCATCCTGGTCATGTGACCTATATCGTTCACTGTGATTGGCAGCGAAGGAAGGCCTTTTCCGGCTACATAGGTTAGTTACCATGCCAACGTAGACAGCCTGTCCTCCATCCTTTGAGACGCTGACATTTCTTAATCCTTTATTAGTTTATTGTACCCGTTTTTGTTAATGCAAGATACTTTGTGACAATTTACTTCAAATAAACCGCCAGCAAGATGTTTGGTTGCAAGGAACGACGTTCCAAAAACAAACTTGTGCAGAGGGCGAGAGAAATAACCAAGGTAAGCATGTCACTAGGCAACACATAGACAAACAAGTGGTCAGATAACTTTATAGCTAAGTACCTGGAAATGTTTTATAGTATGCATTTTCACTCTTTTCTAGAAAGATGGCGAGATGACAAACCGCATTGCAGAGCTGGGCAGGTGTGTAAACTATTCAGTTATGTACTGTTGGGCTAATTGTAACTGTAGCGTTTGATATGTTGCAGATTCTCTCTCTCTCTCTCTCTCTCTCTCTCACTCTCTCTCTCTCTCTCTCTCTCTCTCTCTCTCGCTCTCTCGCTCTCTCTCTCTCTCTAAGTATCCGTGGTGTGATGCAAAAGGCTGAGTTTGAGGGCTCCACCCAGGCTGGTTCCATGAAGACCCTGACGCTGAGAGAGCTGACCCAGCAGAGAGAGACTGCGCTGGGAAAGACTGCTCTGACGCTGGTGAGGGGGGGATGCTGAAACAGGGCCCTGTCTCCTCAGCAACACTAAAAAAGTACTTCCTCGCGGAATTTCAGAATGTTAAAAATAAATGTCCCCACGTAATAGCAGAAAAAATTAAATAGCTTGTATTTATGCATGATATATGAAAACAATTTTCTAAACATTAACAATGATTCATATTTGTTCATATTTAAGCTACGGTTTCATTAAATTGGGGTTTTAAAACTTGTTCCAAGGTCAAATAAATGCCCCCAATGCAAATCACTGTGAATGGAATACATATTGGCTTATAGAGCAAACACTATTCTAGGTGCCACAGTAGAAGTGTCGTAGGGAATACTCTGTAAGGTCTGTAGAATGTAGATATGGTATAATTTCACAGGGCTCTGAATAATACAGAGTGTTGGTGGACTTTTACTGTGGTCAAACAGCTTAAAATGGGGTGCCTGGACACCATATGGTACAAATATAGCACTGTACGGGAAGGAACACTCTGTATTATTCAGAGCCCCATGAAATGACACCATATATACATTCTACAGACCCTACTGAGTGTTCCCTACAATGCTTCTACTGCGGCACCTAGAATAGTTTTTGCTCTATAAGCCAATATGTATAGCACATACAGTGATTCGCATTGATGCCAATGGAATGGGTGGAGTAAAAGGCCAGCAACACTCCATATTATTCATAGCCTCATGAAATGACACCATTACATTCTACAGCCCTTGAGTACTTCCCACCCCACTTTTACATCGGCACAATTAATCGTATAGTGTCCAGGCATCCCATTTTAAGATGTTCGACCACTGTAAAAGTCCAGCAACTCTTCCTATGACCTAGCTTTTTCTTTTAACTCATCTGATTTGTATTCTAGGGACTCTAGTGAGCACACTGGGCCCTGGTTTTATGGACACACAATCAATCGCTTCTCCTGTGTGCCATTTGTCTGTGCAATGCAACAAAAAATACAGTACTTTTTTTCTTAAACATTACATTTCAAAATTGCATCCTTGAACAATAGCACCAGTAAATAAACAAGAATCATACAATCGAAATATATATATTTTTTAAATGTTTAGTGTATCTTTTTTTTAACCAGTAGGCTATTATTATGTTCTTGACATTCATTTACTTAAGTGCCAACCATTTTCTCAATGTGCTCCACCTTATAATATTCTTTATCTTACTATATATAAAGTAGTAATTCTCTTTAGTTTTTTCCCCCATGTAGTTATTATAGTTTTCCTAATTTTAACATTATACGCTATGCAAAGTTGCAAAAAATACTGATTTCGTAGCAGACACATAGCGTTTTACCGCAGACTTTAATTTTGAAGGCAAAATCAGGAAACCTGAAGTATAAATGTGGATAGGATCCAGCTAGTGTTGCTGCCATGAAGCTGTTCCCTGTCTCCATACCATTTTAGAGACCTTGTTCTCTTAGGGGACGTCATTAAATAGCTATAATCAGCCCTTTCATGAAGGTTCATAGCATTATATCTCTAACCTATTCCTCTGACTAAGGAAAATGAATGGGTTTATTCTTGCTAATTTGTGTTGCAGTGTCCTTTACACACATACACTGTCAGAGCAATTACACATTTGTAATACCAGGTGGGGGTAAAAGTAGGCTATAAATTGTCAGGATTTCCATATAGGACACACCAATTTATCAAATGAATGAATTGCTTGCGTTGTCCATATTTGTACCAAGTGGTTCTCTGTAGCTCAATTGGTAGAGCATGGCGCTTGTAACGCCAGGGTAGTGGGTTCGATCCCCGGGACCACCCATACGTAAAAATGTATGCACGCATGACTGTAAGTCGCTTTGGATAAAAGTGTCTGCTAAATGGCATATTATATTATATTTACCAGAACTTGAACTACGGCTTCCCCTGTATCTACAGTACATGCTCTCCATGATGTCTGCTTTCTGTATGTGTGCAGGTCCGTAGAGCAGCACTGCAGGCCCTCCTGGAGCATGAGAGACAGCAGTACGTCATAGAGCTCAACAGACTGGGCAAGGCCATCTACAAACAGAGAGTCTAGACTCTAGTCTCCACTAGACCCATAACAACACCAAAGACCATCTGAAGTTTCTGCTTTAAGCCATCTACCAGCAAGGATGTGTAAACAACTATATAATACTTTTACGTATTAATGTGAAAACATTTACTCACAGCCATCTATAAGCACCTTGTTTACAATTTAAGATGTGTTTTTTCTTTAGGATTACAGTTTTACATCTTTGTCTTTACATAAAAAAAAAAAAAGTCTGATCTGTGCAGAAGCAGAAACTGCTTCTGTAAACGTACACATTTAAGTAATTTACATTCCAGTAAACTAATTACTGGGCCTCATGTCACATGACTCATGTCACGTTAACAAAACAGGGATTTGTGTGTCAGTCAGGGAAGTAGCACTGTACATAAACAAAACACATATTTGGTTAACAAACAGGTCTCCTTCACAACCGCAAGCAAGACACCCCCATAAAAATCAACGAATACACAGTCTGTCATTTGTCCGTTCAGTAGAGCTCTCTACTGGTCATTTGCTTCAGTTTTGAGGAGTAATTACAGTGCCTTCGGAAAGTATTCAGACCCCTTGTCTTTTTCCATATTTTGTTACATTACAGCCTTTTTCTAAAATTGATTACAACTTTTTTTTTCTCAGCAATCTACACACAATACCCAAATAATGACAAAGTGAAAACAGGTTTTTAGAAATTTTTGCTAATGTATATATATATATATTTTTAAATAGTACCTTATTCAAATCAAATTTTATTTGTCACATACACGTGTTTAGCAAATGTTATAGCGGGTGTAGCGAAATGCTTGTGCTTCTAGCTCCACCAGTGCAGTAATATCTAACAAGTAATATCTAACAATTTTACAACATATACCCAATACACACAAATCTAGTAAGGAATGGAATTTAAGAATATATACATATATGGACAAGCAATGACAGAGCGGCATGGAATAAGATACAGTAGAATATTATAGAATAGAATACAGTATATACATATGAGATGAGTAGTGCAAGATATGTAAACATTATTAAAGTGACTAGTGTTCCATTTCTTAAAGTGGCCAGTGATTTCAATAGGCAGCAGCAGCCTCTAATGTGCTAGTGATGGCTATTTAACAGTCTGATGGCCTTGAGATAGAAGCTGTTTTTCATTCTCTCGGTCCCAGCGTTGATGCACCTGTACTGACCTCGCCTTCTGGATGATAGCGGGGTGAACAGGTAGTGGCTCGGATGGTTGATGTCCTTGATTATCTTTTTGGCCTTCCTGTGACATCGGGTGCTGTAGGTGTCTTATTTACATAAGTATTCAGACCCTTTGCTATGAGACTCGAAATTGAGCTCAGGTGCGTCATGTTTCCATTGATCATCCTTGAGATGTTTCTACAACTTGATTGGAGTCCACCTGTGGTAAATTCAATTGATTGGACATGATTTGGAAAGGCACACACCTATATAAGGTCCCACAGTTGATAGTGCATGTCAGAGCAAAAACCAAGCCATGAGGACGAAGGAATTGTCCGTAGAACTCTGAGACAGGATTGTGTCGAGGAACAGATCTGGGGAAGGGTACCAAAAAACTTCTGCAGCATTGAAGGTCCCCAAGAACACAGTGGCCTCCATCATTCTTAAATGGAAGAAGTTTGGAACCACCAAGACTCTTCCTAGAGCTGGCCGCCCGGCCAAACTGAGCAATCGGGAGAAGGGCATTGGTCAGGGAGGTGACCAAGAACCCGATGGTCACTCTGACAGAGTTCCTCTGTGGAGATGGGAGAACCTTCCAGAAGGACAACCATCTCTGCAGCACTCCAACAATCAGGCCTTTATAGTAGAGTGGCCAGACAGAAGCCACTCCTCAGTAAAAGGCACATGACAGCCCGCTTGGAGTTTGCCCAAAGGCACCTAAAGGACTCTCAGACCATGAGAAACAAGATTCTCTGGTCTGATGAAACCAAGATTGAACTCTTTGGCCTGAATGCCAAGTGTCACGTCTGGAGGAAACCTGGCACCATCCCTACGGTGAAGCATGGTGATGGCAGCATCATGCTGTGGGAATGTTTTTCAGCGGCAGGGACTGGGAGACTAGTCAGGATGGAGGGAAAGATGAACGGAGCAAAGTATAGAGAGATCCTTGATGAAAACCTGCTCCAGAGCGCTCAGGACTGGGGCAAAGGTTCACCTTCCAACAGGACAACGACCCTAAGCACACAGCCAAGACAACGCAGGAGTGGCTTCGGACAAGTCTCTGAATGTCCTTGAGTGGCCTGTTGAACCTGCTCGAACATTTCTGGAGAGACCTGAAAATAGCTGTGCAGCAAAGCTCCCCATCCAACCTGACAGAGCTTGAGAGGATCTGCAGAGAGGAATGAGAGAAAACTCCCCAAATGCAGGTGTACCAAGCTTGAAGCATTATACCCAAGAGGACTCGAGGCTGTAATCGCTGCCAAAGGTGCTTCAACAAAGTACTGAGTAAAGGGTCTGAATACTTATGTAAATGTGATATTTCAGTTTTTTTTTTTTTATAGATTTGCAAAAATGTGTAAAACCTATTTTTGCTTTGTCATTATGGGGTATTGTGTGTAGAATGATGAAGGAAAAAAACAATTCAATCAATTTTAGAATAAGGTTGTAAAGTACCAAAATGTGCAAAAAGCCAAGGGGTCTGAATACTTTCCGAATGCACTGTATCTAACATGTGAGCTAATTAAGCAATAAGGCCCGAGGGGTTGAGGTATATGACCAATATACCACGGCTAAGGGCTGTTCTTAGGCACGACGCAACGCGGATATACCACAAACCCCCGAGGTGCCTTATTGCTATTATAAACTGGTTACCAACGTAATTAGACTAGTAAAAATATATGTTTTGTCATACCCGTGGTATAAGGTCTGATATACCACGGCTGTCAGCCAATCAGCATTCAGGGCTCGAACCACCCAGTTTATAACTACATTTAACAAACTGTATTGTAGCTCATAATGACAGTTCCAATCTCTCTAGCCATATAATGACAGTTCCAATCTCTCTAGCCATATCTGGGACACGTTGGTGATTCAGGTTTGGTGATTCCAGCAGACAGACTGTGAAAGATGATGAGCATGCAGACAGATCAGAAACAATGCTGACGTTTAGGCAGGCATTGCAAGACGCCTTGAATGATGTGCGCACACACCTTGCCTTTGACGTGCGCACGACCTGTAACTTCCAGGTGAACAAAAAGGAGAGCTGTCGTTGATAATATCAATAAGAGATCAATCCAGTTTAATACAATCATACAGGGAGACACCTCCAGAACAGAAGCATAGAGCATGTCCAACGGGGCTCTTGGAGACAGGGCCTTTATATTCTAATCAGAGAGTACCAAATGTTCTCGAAAACATCAACCAGAGAGGCTTGAAGTCAAAACAAAAGACAGTGACTTTGCCGGCTGCTACAGAATCACACAGTGTTCATGTCATCAATACAATAATAATCAGTGTGTTCTCGGTCCTTGTACCTTCAGTAGCTCAGGTCTAGTGACCATCAACCCGTTCACAATGAGTGTCACAAATAGAACACTGGTAATCATGTGTATTACAGAAAGGGAAAACATATAAATATGCTAATAATTGTGTTAATTACTGTTAACTGAATATTAACTTTATTCAACTTAAATATTTCCATTACGCTCTGATTAACACACACCACACCCAAATGCAATAAAGGTCAATCATACATCTATGCACAATAAAGGTCAATCATACATCTATGCACAATAAAGGTAAATCATACATTTATGCACATTAAAGGTCAATCATACATCTATGCACAATAAAGGTCAATCATACATCTATGCACAATAAAGGTCAATCATACATCTATGAACAATAAAGGTCAATCATACATCTATGCACAGTAAAGGTCAATCATACATTTATGCACATTAAAGGTCGATCATACATTTATGCACAATAAAGGTCAATCATACATCTATGCACAATAAAGGTCAATCATACATTTATGCACATTAAAGGTCAATCATACATATATGCACAATAAAGGTCAATCATACATCTATGCACAGTAAAGGTCAATCATACAGTGAAGGAAAAAAGTATTTGATCCCCTGCTGATTTTGTACGTTTGCCCACTGACAAAGAAATGATCAGGCTATAATTTTAATGGTAGGTTTATTTGAACAGTGTAACAGAATAGCAAAAAAATCCAGATTTTTTTTTTTTATAAATGTTATAAAATGTTATAAATTGATTTGCATTTTAATGAGGGAAATAAGTATTTGACCCCCTCTCAATCAGAAAGATTTCTGGCTCCCAGGTGTCTTTTATACAGGTAACGAGCTGAGATTAGGAGCACACTCTTAAAGGGAGTGCTCCTAAGTAGCACACTCTTAAAGGGAGTGCTCCTAATCTCAGTTTGTTACCTGTATAAAAGACACCTGTCCACAGAAGCAATCAATCAATCAGATTCCAAACTCTCCACCATGGCCAAGACCAAAGAGCTCTCCAAGGATGTCAGGGACAAGATTGTAGACCTACACAAGGCTGGAATGGGCTACAAGACCATCGCCAAGCAGCTTGGTGAGAAGGTGACAACAATTGGTGCAATTATTCGCAAATGGAAGAAACACAAAATAAATGTCAATCTCCCTCGGCCTGGGACTCCATGCAAAATCTCACCTCGTGGAGTTGCAATGATCATGAGAACGGTGAGGAATCAGCCCAGAACTACACGGGAGGATCTTGTCAATGATCTCAAGGCAGCTGGGACCATAGTCACCAAGAAAACAATTGGTAACACACTACGCCGTGAAGGACTGAAATCCTGCAGCGCCCGCAAGGTCCCCCTGCTCAAGAAAGCACATATACATGCCCGTCTGAAGTTTGCCAATGAACATCTGAATGATTCAGAGGAGAACTGGGTGAAAGTGTTGTGGTCAGATGAGACAAAAATGGAGCTCTTTGGCATCAACTCAACTCGCCGTGTTTGGAGGAGGAGGAATGCTGCCTATGACCCC